GAGGCAGTGGTGCTGGACGGTTAGCAGCTGGTAGTGGTGCTCTAGGGGCCGGTGCGGCAAGCGGTGCAGGATTAAGTGCCGCAGCCACAACACGCAGACCAGCGCCTAAACCAGCGGCATTGGATTTAGCAGCAAAATTGCCAAAGGGTAAGGGAACTGGCGAAGGAGGCAATGGCTGGCGAATCCTGCAACTATTCGATAAGGAAGAAAAAGATGGCTATCGTTATATGTAAGTGTTGATTGTGCAATACTAATACGATTTATGTGCACTCTCGCTGAAGGTGATTTCAAAAAGGTGGTGCGTGCAGTGAACATTTTTGGTTAGTCTGTATTTAGTAATTTTCGAAATGTAGCTAACAGCGCTGCTAATAGCATACAAAAGTTAACAGTGGTTAGCATTTAACAGCGCAGAATATACATACATACACAACAACAGCGAAGTGCTGAAGTGCAAACAATTTAACCGAACGCCTGAAAATATGCTTCGAAATTGAGGACANGCATCGAAAAGTTGGCTCCGGACGCAGATGGTTTGCGTTCGGCCGGATTTTACGAGTACACCGGCGATGATGGTGTGCTCTATCGTGTCGATTATGTGGCTGATGATAATGGCTTTGTGCCACAAGGTGCCCATTTGCCAACTCCACCGCCGTATGTAGCCAAATTGCTGGCATATCTAGAAGCGAATGCTAAAAAGTAGTGAATGTTTTTAATTTATTCATATTCATGCACACATATGTACATAGTTACATACTAAATTCCTTGTATACAATTTAATTTTCACACACACATTAGAGTTAAAGTAAATTTTTAATTAATTTGAATAATAAAAACCTGATTTTTGCAAGCAAATTGGAATGTTGATGAAGCAAACTGTTGGAAAATAAAGAAAGGAAAGCTCCACCGTTTCAAAAGTATTTTTTATAATTCTTGGTAATTTTTAGCAAAGTATTTTATAATAAACCAGTTAATAAATGCCATAAACAAATTGATTTTGGATCTTTATTCGTTAATTTAAATAATTTTCAATAGTACATAGTTATAAAAACATGCATTTCTCTTGTCGGTGGATGAGTACAAAGTTTCGACAATCACCTCGAATTCAACAAACGTTTCATTGTTGGTATTGTAGGCCTGTGGGCATTTAATGCTTTGCAGCATCACCAACCATATGGAATAGGTAAGGTTAAGTGGAGGTGATTGCCTTAGTTAAACGGTGTGAAGAGGCGCATATAGACCAAGTTGAACATTGTAACACCACTAAAGAGATCTCTCACTATGTTCAACAGTCTCCGATTCCTTCTTACCCTGACAACTGCGACAGAAATTCATGCTTCTGCTATGAAAAGGTATCCGGATTTTATACAAACCACTTTGATTTTTGAGGAATGCATAAGTTACCATAGTTAACTGGACAGATTTTCCTTGTTACTTAACACATGGACACGGTTTTTCATCAGACTACGCCTCAAATGTGTAGCGGTGTTGACCATAAAAATTCGTTTGCTTTATTACAGCTTTCTTGGAGCTGATTCCACTTAAATATATGACTGTAGGTAATCATTTGAAGCCGACTTAACAGGGTTTCGGTACAGGTGGAAAAGTGGACTGAATCTTGTCTTGAGCTTGAGTGCAGTAATCCGACCGCCGAAAACTGATGTTAGGTGAGAGGCTTTCGAGTATACCATATTTCCTTTGAGCATTAATTTGGAACCATCGATGCAGACCGCCGCACATTTAGATATATAGAACTATATGCTCTTCCCATTCACTTCAAGAAAGTAACAAAAGTTCTTGGGTAATTTTTTTTTTTTTTTTAATTTAGAAGTAGTTTTCCATACAAATGTATATGTAAAAAACGAATCACTGTTTTAGGCCCTTAATCGACGTTGAGAAAAGCATTTCATGTTCTAAGGACCGTTTCCTCAAATAGCTTTTAAAATGTA